TATCAGGACAACACTCTACCAACTGAGCTACTCAGCCAGAGTGAACCTTCCATTTTTAGACAACAGAAAAAAGATGCAAACTAAAAAATAAAGCAGAGGGAAGAAAATAATTAAGATCAGAGCAGAAATTAATGAAATAGGGAATAGAAAAAAAATAGGAGGAATTAACAAAACCAAAAGGTGTTCTCTGGGAAGACCAACAAGATTGACAAAACAAGCTAGACCAAGAGAGAAAACTCAAAATACTAACTAAAATTAGGAAATAAAATGGTGACATAACTAGCTACTGACCTTACAGAAAGAAAGAATGATTAAAAGGAATACTACAACTGTATAGATAACTTAGATGAAATGGACAAATTGTTAGAGACCCAAACTTCCAGAACTGATTAAAGAAGAAAGAGAAAATATGAATAAACCTATATTAAGTAAAGAAACTGAATTAGTAATTTTTAAGATTCCCAAAAAGAAATGACCAGGCCCAGACAGCTTCACTGATTAATCAACCAAACATTTAAAGAATTAATAGCAATCCTTCATAAATTGTTTCAAAAACGAAAGAGAAAGAAATACTTCCCAACTCATTCTATGACGCAAGTATTACTGATACCAAAACCTGACAAAGACATCACAGGAAAGAAAACTACAGACCAATATCTTTTATGAATATAAACATAAGTATCCTCAACAAAATACAGGCAAACCCAATTCAGCAACATGTAAAAAGGATTATACACCATGACCATAAATATATATGCCATAGATCCTTAAAATCTGGGATTTATCTCCAGAATACAAGGTTGGTTCAGCATCTAAAAATTAATCGAATAAAAGTCAAATACTACATAATCATCTTAATTGACACCGAAGAAGCATTTGACAAAATCCAACATCACTTGTGATTTAAAACACCCAACAAACTAGGGAGAGAAGGAAAATTTCTCAGTCTGATAAAGGGTATTTACAAGAAACCTAGAGCTAGTTTTAAGCCACTTGATCAAAATCTAAATATCAATGTCCCTGTCACCATTTCTATTCAACACTGTACTATAGGTTCTAGCAAGGGCAATTAGGCAAGAAAATGAAACAAAGGGCATCCAAATTAGAAAGGAAACCTATCTCTATTTGCAGATGAACACAGTTGGGTTTTGATTTAAAAATTTACTCCAAAGCTACAGTAATCAAGACACTGTATTGCTAGCTTAAGAAAAGAAGTATCAGTCAATGGAATGGAACTAAGAGTCCAGAAATAAATCCTTACATTTATCATCAACAAGGGTACCAAAATAATTGAATGGAGCAGGATTGTCTTTTTAATGAAAGGTGCTATGGCAACTGGATAGCCACATGAAAAAGAATGAAGTTGGATTTTTTCCTCACACCATACACAAAAATTAATTCAAAATGGATTCTACATCTAGAGGTAAGAGCTAAAACTATAAAACTCTTAAAACATAGCAAAATCACAAGCAACAACAAAAAAATAAACTAGACATATTCAAATTAAAAACTTGTTTGCTTCAAAGGACATCATCAAGAAAGTGAATGAATAACAAAGAGAATGGGAGAAAATATTGTAAATCTTATGTCTAATAAGGAACTTGTACCTAGAATATATAAGTAACTCCTACAATTCAATAATAAAAAGAAAAATAACTCACTTAAAAAATGGGCAAAGGATCTGACTGGACAAGTAGATATAGCATGGCAAATAAGTGTAGCGGAAAAGACTCAGGCCATACACCAGAGGAGGCGAAAGGAGACCTTTATTAACGCATGCGGGCCCAGAAGAGGCAGTCTCCAAATTCTGGGCCCCGAACAAAGGGCTTGGGTCAGCTTTATAGGGTCGTGGGTCGGGCCTGCTTGTGGCTCGAAAATAGCGGGCGGGGTTCCAGAGGTCAGATAAGGTTACATGTACATTCAGGCGGGTAAGCTGATACCTGAAATGGGGAGTCTTCCTAAAATGGCAGCGGTTCCTGCCTCATAAGCACATGCAAAAATGTTCAAATAATAAAATGCTCTAATAAAAATGCTCATTATTAGCCCTCAGGGAAATGCAAAACAAAACCATGAGAGACCACTTCGCACACCTACCAAAGGCGGCGAAAAACCTGGTGCCCTCGAACACTGCTGGTGGAAACGCAAAGCGGGGCAGCTGCTTGTGAAACAGCCTGGCAGCTCTGCGAAAGGTTAAATGCAGTTACCATATGATTCAGTAACTTCACTCCTAGTTATAACTCAAGAGAAATGAGACATATGTCCACACAAAAACTTACACACAAATGTCCACTGCAACATTATTCATAACAGCCAAAAAGGGGGAAAAACCCCAATGTCCATCAACCAATGAATGAATGAATAAAATACAGCATTACTCTTACACTGCGACATTATTCATACATGAAAAGGAATGAAGTACTGGTACACACTAGAACACGAATAAACCTTAATGTTTTTCTGACTATAAATCACACCACAATCCCACCTCCAGTTTTGGCTCTTAGAAGAACTGGCAGAGCAGTCTCCTAGTCCCTCTCCCTTCCACCAGGAAAGACGGGAGACGCTGTCTCAAACCTAGAGATGACAATGTGGTAGGCAGTTAGACAGATATGAGCAGAGCAAGGACGATGGGCTAGGTACAGAAGGTCATCAGGGTGGGAAGCCCTAGGTGCCTAGCAAAGGACAATTATAGGGTGGGACCTCACCTCCAGGGTGGCCTAGCATATCACTGATCATGAGGTTTGGACCCCCTGACCTTTCCTTCCTAGAGATAACATCTAGGCCTAAGTTGTCTTTCAACTCCAGGCCCAGAAAAGCAGCAAAACCCCAAGGCTGACCTCAGGACTAGCTGCATTGAGTAACGACTCCCCACCCTGGTGCTGACCAATCAATCAGTGGAGACCTAGACCCGGAAAGGACACACCTGGAAAGCTGCTGAATATTCTATTGAGATCTTCCACTGTGACCTTCCCTAAAATCTTTACCCTTAAAACCCTTAGGGCAGAGGGCCCAGCATGTTCTCCCTCCTGGGGACACACTAGCGCCTTTCCCTCCCTTTTCTCCCTCCCTCCAGGTGCATTACCATTACCTTCCTCACTCCCAAGCTCTAAGGACACTTCCTTTACCTCTATAACTTGTTTCCTCAGCCCATTTCTTCTACAAATTACTTCTCCTACCTACTTCTGTGACTTACCAAATAAATGTTCTCTTATAGTTCAGGTCTTGGCTCTGAATTCTTTCCTAGCCAGAACCTAAGTACTGAAGTTGCTGAACCCAGGTCCAGTCTGACCCCACTGGACTAACACTCAGTGCCATTCCCGCCTACAATTCCATGTGTTTCCTTTGTTTGCTTTTTAAATCTCATGTGGTTTACTATGCAATAGGAGATGTTACAAAATAATTTCTCACTTTCCATGAGTCAAAGATATTGACTGATGTCCTTTCTACCAATCGATTGGGTCTACTGCCTGACCTTCTAAGTTTAACACTCCAAATAAAACCACCACAGAACAGCTGTTATTCAACAAATAGCTAAAGGTGATGACTTATGACCATTAGTGCATGAAGTGATATGGATGAGTGAAAAATCAATTAACATATATCCCAAGTTAGTTAATGGATTATTTCATTATAGCACTAAAGACTGACCTCTAAAATCACTATCCTATATATTTATTTTTCTTACCCTAATGCCAACCTACTGTCCTTGTGAATATGATCACTTTAATTCAGATACGTAAAAATTGGTGACCTAACAACAATTTTAGTGAAGTGATAGTAATGGAGTATTTTGAACTGTCTACTGTCTAATAGTCATGTTTATGAACAACAGCTTATATACCGGCAAAGTATAGGGTTAGAAAATTTTTCCCTATAGTATTAAAGGGAAAACCACAGACAGTATCAAAATGATATTACTCAGTGCTAAAAGCCCCGATACCAAGCCTAGATTTAATACCTGATTTTACTGTTTCAACCTTTCCCAGAAACATCTTAATCAACCAGTCTGGAATTTTCTGGTCAAGCACCAATCCATCACTGTGGGCCCTCTATATCCCCCATAGAAAGAAGAGGCAATCTATAGGATAAAAACCCTTCCTCTTCTCTACTTAGAAAGAGAAAGGAAGGGTGTCCTGGCCAAATATAATCCTTTCTTTGCTTTTGTTAAAGTTCCCTGGCCCCACCCTTCTTCCTCTAAAAACCTTCCACTTGTACAACCCCAGACAGCAGGATAAATGGTATGCTGCCCAATTCATGAATCAGCTCAATAAAGCCAATTAGATCTTCAAATTTACTCCTAGAGTTTTGTTAACAATGGCAATCTAAATGATGTGTAAGGGGGTTGGGAAATCAAAGATCACATCCTCAGCTTTTTAAAAGTCATCTTTAATCAATAAACATTCAGGAAAAACGAATGCCAGTTAGCTCATTAAGATATGCAAGTTTCTGGAGTATTTCATGAAATCAAATCTAAACAAGAGACAGGGATACAGAAATAGAGATAGAGTGACTTAATAAATATAACAGTTTTTCCTCCCTTCCCTGCTCCATAGCCTCACTCCTCAAGAAAAATGAAGAAATAATAAAAAATATCTCAGGTATCATAAAATTGAAAGGTTCCGAAGCTTTCTGAGAAGCATTATGAAATTAAGACAAATACCTCAAGTATAAAGAATCTGACCAAGGAAGAAGGGGATGGGTGGAGGTGGAAGAAGATATAGGGGGATAAATGGTGATGGGGAAAAATAATAAAATAAAAAGTAAAATAAAATAATAAAATAAAAAATAAAATAGAGTTTGACCAAGTCTTGGGGATTTGACTTATATTAGTAAAAACTTGATATTCAGGGATGAGATGAAGAGCAAAGGAGATATCTATTACAGCAAAAAATATTAGATCGATGCCAAAGTTTCAAGGCCCTGTGGATATTTCGGAGCTAGAACAATGAGAGCAAAATCTGCTTGTTTATAAAGTCTTCAAAAGATAAAATTTAACTCACCTTCTGTGTCCTTAACCATATCAAGTTTAAGCGCCTTTGTTCCATCAAAGCAAAAAGCCCTAATGGAATTTAGCCCTAGTAATAAAGCATTCTGCTTTATTTTTTTTACTTTGTTGGATAGTTTATCCAGGGCTACTACTTCTCCCTAAAATAAAACAAAACAAAAAAAAACAGAAAAAAACAAAGTGTAAATCCAAAGTAATCATCAAAATTATTAAAAATGAAATGAGAAAACCATGAAAAATTATGGTCTTCCCAATTTCCTCCTACCCCTAGTTTTAAAGTTGAATTCATTAACCAAATGCATATTGAATTTATATCAAATACTTATTAAGTCTTTCCTTAAAAAAAAAAAACACCATCATGCCAGATAATTTTCTTATAATGCCCAGCTACTTTTAATCAATAAAACTCAAAACCAAAAATAGTGTTTGCAATCTTCTAAAGACACTTAAAAACATCCACTGGAGGTAAACATTAAAAATCACCAATTTGATGTATCTTGCTCAGCTCTGAAAGAACATGAACTAAAGTCCTGAGACATCTTCCTTCTAGTGTTTTAAGATACAAATAAATATTACTTACAAAATCAATCCTCATTTCAATATTTTCTATGCTATACACATAAAATTCATTTGAATTCTGACAACCAAAGACAGAAAACTATGTCTGTATATCACAGCAAAATGTTCTAGACTGGTATAAAATATAGTTCAAAACTAATTTTAAATGGTAATACTCAGTTAAATCCAAGTCAACAAAGACAAAAGGGTTATTTTAATGAATGTATTGTAATATTCGTATATTTCAAAACATACCATGAACTGATATTGCAGAGATGGTGAAATTAACCATTCAAAGTATTTCCTTGTTTTTGTTCCCTTTATATACACTGTCTTTGCATGACATCTGCATCAGTTGCATAGACTACAATACCAGGAATTTGCTGATAATGTTTCTACATGTGACATTAATGGTAGACATAGTTCCAATTAATACTCTGACAAACAGGAAAACCATTTCAAGTGAGCTGAACTGAAAAAGTAGGTAAAAACAACCAGAATAAGGTTCAAATGTACTTCAGTGAAGGAGTAATTCCAATGGCTGAAGGCTACTTTTACAAAAGTACAGACAGGAGTGTAAACTTACACTAAATCTAACTACCAAAATAAATCAAAAGAGCAACAAAATCTCAGATTAATTCTGGCTCAGGTGTCCGTTTCTACGCTGCTGTCCCACTGTGAGATTACTAACTTCAGCTCGTTACTAACCTCATCCTCTGCCATTTCCCTTGCAGTACCCTGCCATTCTGACTTGAGCTCAGCTGTGATCTGCACTGGCCAATGGGATGACAGTAAATGTAATGCAAGCAGAGAAATGAAAAGCACTTGAACAGCTGGCCTTACTCTACTTTGCCCTCAGCCATGGCCAACCCTTAATGATTGCCCTCTGCGGGGCTAGCCATCTATTCCTAGCAGGAGGATAAGGAACACATGGACCAGAGGCAGGGCACACAAGTGGTCTCAGCTGGTGTCACTTTAGATAAACCAACATCAACCAAAACCAAGTGAATAAACCTTCACAATGTCATTAGAACCCCTAGCTAACCAGCTCTGGATCAGGTGCACAAGCAAGCCTAGCAGGGACCAGCTGAATCCCTGACTCATGGTATGAATATATGTTTAATTATATGCAGTATAGGCTTTGTGATCATTTTTGCATGGCAGTATAAAACCAACACAACACACATACAACCACAATAACCAGACTCTATTTTGAAAGATCTTAGTAGAGAGAATAAAATTTCTATGAATAAACACCTCTAAGCAAACACAATAAATATCACTATAAATTAAGAGGAACAACAAATATATTTCTTAGTTACTTAAGCTTACTCACTGAAGCTAATCTTGTTTTATTGCTAGAGATTATGCTCACATGCAGGGCATATATATATATACATTTGTACACATACAATGTATACACACACACACACTGTGGATATATATATGGTATATGTATTCACACACACATACAGCACAGACATAGGTTTAACCCTTTAATAAATTTAGTAAAAATATAAACTCTGTGTTTTGTATACTCACAACTATAAACCTACTTTTGTTCTACCCTGTACATGAATTTTCATCAGAAGTCTTTGGATAATTAAACCTTGCATTAATGTAAGAGAAAAGCTACAATTTCATCTTAAAACAATAAATGCTCCTACTATTTTTGGTAAAGCATTACTGTAAATCACTTCTTCCTAAGAATCATTAAATACAGATCAAAAATGAATCGACTTCTGGTAAAGAAGGAGGAGTAGGTAAGTGCTATGTTCCCCTCCTCCCACAACCACATCAAAGTTACAACTAAATTATAAAACAACCATCACTGAGAACTAGATGAAGAACTGCTGAACAAAAGTCCTGTAGCTAAGGACATAAAGAAGCCACATCGAGAATGGTAGGAGGGGCAGAGACACAGAACAGGCTAAGTGTGGTGATTAAAAGATGGGAGGACTATCTCAGCAAAGAAGGTACTCCCCAGAGAGCTAGGGGTACCAGCCCCACATCTGGCTCCCCAGCCCAGATTACCCGTTACTGGAAGAGGGAAGTCTCCATAACATATGGCTGTAAAAAACAGTGGGGACTAACTTGGACTCACTCCCTCTGAGATCCAGCAATG